TGCGGACGAACAACGTGATATTAGCCGGAGATGTAAATGCCTGGAGCACCTGGTGGGGAAGTCGAGATTCAAATGCAAGAGGGTTTGAAATGATGGACATACTTGACGAGTTGGAGCTGCATATTTTGAACCGAGGTCCTGGGCCCACCTTCGACACCATTAGAGGCGGAAGAAGGTTCTCCAGCTGTGTCGATATAACGACCTGCTCGACGGACCTTCTCGGAAAAATTGGGAACTGGAGACTTTCTGGAGACGTTACCGGTTCGGATCACATGACAATTCTGTTCGAGCTCGATCTCGGCAAGGCTGTCGGCACAGACATCAAAAGAACAACAAGAAAATATAATACCAGAAAGGCAAACTGGAGCGAGTTTCATACGAAACTAGCCCAGCTTTGGCAAAACAAAAATCTGGATGTCGCATCTATAAAAGCAATAGACAACAAAATGGAAATAGAAAATAGTATAAAAAACTACACAAACGCAATAGTTGATGCCTGTGAAGACAGCATGCCGAGATTGAGCGGTAAAAAGAGAATAGAGTTGCCATGGTGGACCGAGGAGCTCAGTGAGCTCAAAAGGGAAGTTGCCAGAAGGAAACGACGTATATCCTACGCCGCGCCAGTTCGAAGGGAATGGGTCGTCGAGCAATACTTATCATGTAAAGAAAAATATCAGCTGGAGATGAAAAGGGCCCAGACCTCCAGTTGGAAAAACTTTTGCAGTAAGCAGGAAAAGGAGTCCATGTGGGATGGGATATACAGGGTGATTGGCAGAACAGAAGTAAGGCAGGAGGAGATCCCTTTAATCTGCGACGGCTTGAACGTGGGGAGCAAAGAATCTGCCAGGATCCTAGCGGATAGTTTCTATCCGGAGGATGAAACTCAGAACGATAATGCTGACCACAGAAAGATAAGAGAGCTAGCGGTAAGGGTAAACATAGAATCGCAAAGTGAACTATGCGACCCACCCTTCACGGAGGCAGAATTGATATGGTCAGCATCAAGTTTCAACCCCAAGAAGGCTCCTGGAATAGATGGTCTAACAGCAGATATCTGCAGTGCTGCCATCACTCTGAACACCGATTTGTTCCTGGCTTTGGCGAATAAGTGCCTCGAATTGGCATGCTTCCCAAAGCTCTGGAAGGAAGCTGTAGTGGTCGCGCTACCAAAGCCGGGAAAAGAGAACTACACGCATCCCAAGTCCTATAGACCAATTGGCCTACTGCCAGTTCTAGGCAAGATATTAGAGAAAATGCTGATCAGAAGGATCAGATGGTACACCACGCCGACCATCAGCCACAAGCAGTACGGCTTTTTACCCCAACGTAGTACCGAGGACTCCCTCTATGACATGATGCAGTACATCAGAAATGAGTTGAAACTCCAAAAACTGATCGTGCTGGTGTCATTGGACATAGAGGGAGCCTTCGACAACGCTTGGTGGCCGGCAATACGCTGCAGACTGGCAGAAACCGGATGCCCAGCGAATCTGAGGCGACTGATAGACAGCTATCTTGAGGATAGAACAGTACGCGTCAGGTTTGCTGGAGCAGAATGGTTAAAAAAATACGACAAAGGGGTGCGTGCAGGGCTCAATCGGTGGTCCCACCCTATGGAACATCCTTTTAGATCCATTGTTAAAAGAAGTAGGGTTGAAGGGGGAGCACTGTCAGGCGTTCGCGGATGATGTGGTCCTCATTGTTTCCGGAGCCACGGCGCGGGAAGTACAGAGACGAACTAATGCTGTCCTCGGGCATGTATGGAGCTGGGGAGTCAAAAACAAACTACGTTTTGCGCCACAAAAAACTAAGGCAATACTTTTTACCAACAAACTTAAGTATGACTCACCAGCTCTTACCATGGGCGGGGAGGCAATAACTTACTCCCGAGAGATTAAAATACTTGGTCTGACCATCGACAAAAAGTTAACATTTAATACTCACATAAAAAATGTGTGTAGGAAGGCCCAGATAATATATGGCCAACTTTCGAGGGCCGCAAAAATCAACTGGGGTCTCAATTCGGAGATAGTGAGGACCATATACTTGGCGGTGGTAGAGCCGGTAATTCTTTATGCGGCGAGTGTTTGGGCACCGGCGGCCAAAAAGGTGCAAACGAAAAAAATTATTAAACTCGGTGCAGCGCGGCTTCGTGCAGAGGATAGTTAAAGCCTACAAAACTGTCTCGTTGAACTCAGCCCTCCTTCTGGCTGGATTGCTCCCCCTGGATTTAAGGATCCAGGAGGCAGCATTACTATATGAAATTAAAAAAGGACATTCCAAGGAGGTGTTGGGTGACCGAGATCTTGAGGTAATGGAAGCTTATATAAATTTGCCGCATCCTGCGGACCAGGTGGGGCCGAAGTTCATATGTCTGGATGACGGTGCACAAGTAGTTCAAACAAACAACACCGAACTCAGTATTTTTACTGATGGTAGTAAGATCGAGGGAAAAGTGGGCGCGGCGCTGTCCATTTGGGACAGCGCTGCCGAAACAAGTACAAGAAAACTCAAATTGGACTACTTTTGTACCGTTTACCAGGCGGAACTGTTGGCCCTGCTTGAGGCTACCAAATATGCGGTTCTATCCTCTGCACGAAGTTGCAACATATATAGTGATTCCAGATCGGCCCTGGAGACCATCACCCGGGGCGACTCCCTCCACCCCTTGGCGGTCAGGGTAAGAGAAAATATCAGTAAATTAAAAGTTCAAGGAAAATCACTTGCTCTGCATTGGGTCAGAGCTCACGTGGGGGTGGAGGGAAATGAAAGGGCTGACATATTAGCAAAAGAAGCTGCACTGAGGATCAAAACAAAGCCATTTTATGACAAATGTCCGATTTCATTCGTCAAGCGACAAATCCGGATGGACTCGCTTAGCGAATGGAACGGGAGATATATAGAAGCAACTACGGCCGCCACCACCAAAATCTTCTTTCCGGACGCTCTCAGTGCTTACCCCATAGTAAGAAAAATAGAAATGGACCCACTGTTGACGCAGGTACTAACAGGACATGGGGGGTTCTCCGAGTATCTGCACCGTTTCAAATGCAAGGAGAGCCCCACATGCACTTGTGATAGAGAACAGTTAGAGACCATAATTCACCTCATTGCGGATTGCCCCATAAATTATAGAATGAGAAAAGAGTTAGAATTAGAAGCTAAAATAAAAATAAATGGAGAGGAAATACACGTAATAATGAAAGATAAATTAAATAGAGGCAAATTTATAAAATATTGTAAGCGTATCGCAAAAATAGCTATAGATAGAAATAAGTAGATAATAAAGGGAACTTGAATATGTATGTAAGAATATATAACGCAAGTCCCAAAATAAATAGAAATTAATAAATAAACACAATTGTAATTAGTAAATAATAAAATAGCAATAAGAAAAGGAAAACTAAAATATATGTAGAACATATATAGCAATTTCCACCTAAATTGTAATAAGCTATAAGAAAGGAACAAAAATGTAACGTAGTAGATGTAAGCTAGCGATACGAAAAGCAAATAAGTAAAATAATTATATACATCAGAGATAAGTAGCAAGAAAGATAATAAAACTGTATAGGTAATATTGTAATAAGTAAATTTAAAAAAAAGGAAATCACTGTAATGTGGTGATAGAAAGATATATATAGTTAAATGTATAGCCATAAGGGATAGAGATAAGAAATGAAATAATGTAATTAAAATACAAACAAAAATAAATCAAAGTCAAAAAGAACACTGACGAACAAATCAAAAAGAGCGCAAGGTCCCTGATCTCCCATGTCAGGGGAAAGAAATTTAAAAAAAAAAAAAAAAAAAAGACCCCTAACCTAACCTAACCTAACCTAACCTAACCTAACCTAACCTAACCTAACCTAACCTAACCTAACCTAACCTAACCTAACCTAACCTAACCTAACCTAACCTAACCTAACCTAACCTAACCTAACCTAACCTAACCTAACCTAACCTAACCTAACCTAACCTAACCTAACCTAACCTAACCTAACCTAACCTAACCTAACCTAACCTAGCCTAACCTAGCCTACCCTAGCCTAACCTAGCCTAACCTAGCCTAACCTAACCTAACCTAACCAACTATAAATTCGCTAATAACTTTTATAAAAATTGGTATTTTTCGTTCAATTCTTTTTTTAAATTGTGTAGTTAATTGCTCCCCACATTTCCTTATAGTTTTCTCAGTAAATTCGTAACGTTATATATTTTATTTTCATATTTTCAGTCTATTTCTTTCTTAAATTCATCAATAAAAACACGTATTCATCTATAGCACGGCTGAAAATTGGCCTTTTCCTTTTAAATTTTCTATTTAAATAGTGTAACTAACTGCCCCCCCGTAATCCTATATAGTTTTCTTGGTTAATTCCTAAAGTTATATATATAATTTTCATATTTTCCGTCTCTTAATTACGTAAATTCATTAATAAAAACACGTATTCATCCATAACTCGGCTGAAAAGTGGCCTTTTCCGTTTAAATTTTCTTTTTAAATAGTGTATTTAACCGGCCCCCGTATTTATCTACAGTTTTTATAGTAAATTTCTGTCGCTAAAATATTTATTTCCACAAAATTCCTTTTCCTATACTCGTAATTTCCTAAAATTTTTAAAAATTTTCAAATCTTCATTTATTTCGCTCTTTTTGCTTTTATTAGGTCCGTCTAGTGTAGAAACTACCATCTGCACTCTTATTTGCTTTATAAAACATATAGAACTGGAAAAAATAACCCCCCCACCCTCCCTGTTTTTCCTATTTAAGTAGACTTGTAGGAATCCTATATCGATTTTTTTTATATCGATTTTATATTTATATTGATTTTTTATTTATTTATTTATATTGATTTTTGTATTTCTTGCACCTGTGAGTAAAAACACCTAGCTTCGACAAAAATAGACCACCCACCCTCCCGGTTTTACCTCCCTAAGTAGACTTGTATTATTATATTGTATAAAAGTATTATTTGATCCTCATTTTTTCCCCTTAATATGGCTCCATTAGATAAAGATATACCACGACTTCCTTGCGACGTTAGTAATATAAAAAATCTTGACACATACATAGAAGTTATCAATCAGTTGACCACATGTATCTCTAACGCGGTAAACGAGGGAAAAAGCGTCACAGCTGTTAACAAGTGCCTTATAAATCTGGCAGCTGAAGAAATCCGAAGAGCCTCAAACAGCCTTTCCACTGTACTATCAGCGAAAGCTTCACATGCCGAGGAACAGTCTTTGAAAAATGATATTTTAACCATCGTTAGAGAGGAAATCAAAAAGCTTAAAGAAGTGCTAACTCCCACTTCCAATGCGCCTGGCCCTACATACGCGGAAGTGGCATCTATTGCCCCAAAAAAACCAGAACCTAACCTAACCTAACCTAACCTAACCTAGCCTAACCTAGCCTAACCTAGCCTAACCTAGCCTAACCTAGCCTAACCTAACCTAACCTAACCAACTATAAATTCGCTAATAACTTTTATAAAAATTGGTATTTTTCGTTCAATTCTTTTTTTAAATTGTGTAGTTAATTGCTCCCCACATTTCCTTATAGTTTTCTCAGTAAATTCGTAACGTTATATATTTTATTTTCATATTTTCAGTCTATTTCTTTCTTAAATTCATCAATAAAAACACGTATTCATCTATAGCACGGCTGAAAATTGGCCTTTTCCTTTTAAATTTTCTATTTAAATAGTGTAACTAACTGCCCCCCGTAATCCTATATAGTTTTCTTGGTTAATTCCTAAAGTTATATATATAATTTTCATATTTTCCGTCTCTTAATTACGTAAATTCATTAATAAAAACACGTATTCATCCATAACTCGGCTGAAAAGTGGCCTTTTCCGTTTAAATTTTCTTTTTAAATAGTGTATTTAACCGGCCCCCGTATTTATCTATAGTTTTTATAGTAAATTTCTGTCGCTAAAATATTTATTTCCACAAAATTCCTTTTCCTATACTCGTAATTTCCTAAAATTTTTAAAAATTTTCAAATCTTCATTTATTTCGCTCTTTTTGCTTTTATTAGGTCCGTCTAGTGTAGAAACTACCATCTGCACTCTTATTTGCTTTATAAAACATATAGAACTGGAAAAAATCGAATGTTTTTCCTATTTAAGTAGACTTGTAGGAATCCTATATCGATTTTTTTTATATCGATTTTTTATTTATATCGATTTTTTATTTATTTATTTATATTGATTTTTGTATTTCTTGCACCTATGAGTAAAAACACCTAGCTTCGACAAAAATAGACCACCCACCCTCCCGGTTTTACCTCCCTAAGTAGACTTGTATTATTATATTGTATAAAAGTATTATTTGATCCTCATTTTTTCCCCTTAATATGGCTCCATTAGATAAAGATATACCACGACTTCCTTGCGACGTTAGTAATATAAAAAATCTTGACACATACATAGAAGTTATCAATCAGTTGACCACATGTATCTCTAACGCGGTAAACGAGGGAAAAAGCGTCACAGCTGTTAACAAGCGCCTTATAAATCTGGCAGCTGAAGAAATCCGAAGAGCCTCAAACAGCCTTTCCACTGTACTATCAGCGAAAGCTTCACATGCCGAGGAACAGTCTTTGAAAAATGATATTTTAACCATCGTTAGAGAGGAAATCAAAAAGCTTAAAGAAGTGCTAACTCCCACTTCCAATGCGCCTGGCCCTACATACGCGGAAGTGGCATCTATTGCCCCAAAAAAACCAGCAATTGTTATCAAATCTACAAACCCTACAGCAAAATCATCCGACATTCTCGCTACCTGGAAAAAGAACATTTCATTTAAGAAAGAAAAATATGCACCTGTTAAAATGCAAACAATATCAAATGGGAAAATTCGCGTAGAGTTTGAAAACTACAAGCAATGCGAGGAAGCCATTACCAAAACTAATCAGGTAGAAGGGTTACAAGCCGAAGAGTCCAAAAATAGAAGTCCTCTCATTATTCTTAAAGGAATTACAAAAGAAACGGCAAAAGAAGAACTAATTGAAATTATTTCCTACCAAAATTCGATCCCTGAGGACGCATTACGTCTTTGTTTCCTTACTTCAAATAAGAATAACGCTTTATACAATGCAGTTTTGGAAGTGACACCTAAATACTACACAACTATTACCACATACGGACGAGTAGCCATTAATCATCAACGAGTGTTTGTCGGGCCTTTCTCGAGATTTGTTCAATGCCATCTGTGTTTACAATTTGGACATACAAAAACGAAATGTGCCATAACAATTCACCCATGCGCGTTTTGTGCCTCAGAAGACCACAATATTATGGACTGCCCAAACAGAACCTCTGACGAAAAACGAAAGTGCTACAACTGCCACAAACATAATTTGAAGACCAACGCCAATGCCGACATTAGACATAATGCAACAAATGTAAAACTGTGCCCTAGAATCATCTCTATTAAAAAGAAATTAGAGGAATCTACTGATTATGGACTTACAAACTAATCACCAAATGAATAAGTATCAGAGAAAGAGTAACATATCTGAACAGAGCAATAAAATACATCTCAATAATAATTGCAATAAAACGTCTAATAATGGCATTAGATTCATCCAATGCAATTTGGGCCGAGGATATAATGCCCAACAAGAATTATTGGCATATTGTCGCTCAAATAGTGTACAAGTAGTCTTTATAAATGAACCATATATCGGAAATAATACAATTATGAACAAAACACCCGGATACACAACATACCAATTTCCTCATAACCGTCATGTAAAGGCTAGCATTCTGATTAAAGAAGGTCTTGGCAGCTGCCTCGGGGATTTCAAAATATTCAACGCCAAATTTATGTATAGTACAGCTCATCACTTCTGGGAAAAGAATATTTCTAACTAGCATTTACGTAGAGCCCAAAGACGATGAAAATGAAACATTGAACCACTTGGAACAATTTATAATTGAAACAGGAGACGCCATTCATATTATCGCGGGAGACCTAAATGGCTGGCACCAACTTTGGGGATCTCCCACAGCGAATAAAAGAGGTAAGGAAATAGTTGATATTATTATTCCTCACAATCTTACCATCAATAATACTGGCACAGATCATACATATGAAACTACAGCGGATGGAATTCTACGTGGTTCCATCGTTGATCTCACCATAACTTCATCCTCAATCTCGAATCATATTATTAATTGGCAAATAGATAATTCTATATGTCCCTCCTCTGATCACCATGGTATCAAATTTGAATATTTCCTTAATAAAAATCATATCCGTCAGAATAAGAAAAAATCGACTTACCAATATAATACTTGTGGCGGCGCTATCGTCACGCCACAAGCGAAATACACCGAAGCCTAAATCACGCTATCAACATTCCGAATCATAAACACCATATATAGAACATCTCCAAACTATTACACGGAGTGTTGGCCGCTCCCCGGGGCAGAACACCTTGCCCGGCGGGAGATCTCCCCTTTTCCTTCATCGGCCACAGTGGTGACCCCGACGTGATCTGAACACGCAACCAAACAACCTTCGGAAACTTCAAGCTTCGTCATCGTCATAGAATATCCCACCCATTCGCTCCCGAGTAGATATCGTCTGCAGTCTTCATATCCTGCAAGCCATCTAGCTTCACAAGGTTCATCGCAGCACTGGAATAATAATGCTTCCTGTTCCTTCAAGCTACTCTCTGCGCCATACAGTGTTCGGCACGGCTCTGAGCCTTACTGCTCGCCTCTGTTTCACGGCACTCTCGCAGATTACTTGCCTTCTTCTCGACTCACCGCAGACTACAAGGCAATCTCCTGGCACTTGCACATTCGTCGACAACTCGACTGCACTATCGACCTCCGGTCTGAGCAGGGGGGTGATGTGGCGGCGCTGTCGTCACGCCACAAGCGAAATACACCGAAGCCTAAATCACGCTATCAACATTCCGAATCATAAACACCATATATAGAACATCTCCAAACTATTACACGGAGTGTTGGCCGCTCCCGGGGGCAGAACAACTTGCCCGGTGGGAGATCTCCCCTTTTCCTTCATCGGCCACAATACTAATAATTTTAAGCAATGGGAAAAACTAAGCGAAGCCTTTTCCAGAGAAATTGAACTGACCCAACTTAACAAAATTGACATCCTATCCTTAGATCCAAATAACTTACTACACTTTATTGATGAAATAACCGCGTTTATTCACAAAATTTGTAAAAAGTATCTTCCCCACTCTTCTATTCGTCCTGAGCGCCCTTCTTGGTGGACCGAAGACTTAGAAAAATTAAAAAGAAAAGTTCTTGACAACCATCACCTGCTTCAAAAACTAAGTCGAAAACATCTTCCAATGAACGAAGCAATTACAAACAAGACCCAATTCCAAAAGGAATACGCCGAAGCAATCAGAAAGGCCTCAACTGAAAACTTCCGTGAATTCTGCAACAAACAAGGTAAGGAAGATGTGTGGTCAGTTACAAATAGATTGCTGAAGAATTCAATCCCAACCCTACCACCTTGCACCCTCAAAATAGCACCAAACAAATATACTACTTCTTCTGAAGAAACAGCCCATATATTTCTTCAAAAATTTTATCCAGAGGACACCATTGACACATATAGTTCCCAAACCGTCACCCGACAAACCATAAAATTTCCACCGAATACAAATGATGATCCTCCATTTACTATTGATGAAGTCCTCCATAACCTCAAGGATATGAACCCTCGAAAATCACCTGGACCAGATCACCTTACCTCCGACATATGCTTCTGTTTCACTCAAACATTTCCAGAACTAATAACGAATATCATGAATAGATGCCTAGCTTTATCAATATTCCCTAGACAGTGGAAACATGCGCAAGTAATTATTATTCCTAAGCCCAACAAACTTGACTATACTGAAATCTCAGCTTATCGCCCCATTGGACTGCTTAATGTTTTTGGTAAACTCCTTGAAAAGTTGGTCATCAAACGACTAAATCATTTTATTTACACTAACAACAAATTCAATAGTAAACAATATGGGTTCAAGGAACAAAGGTCAACGACAGAAGCACTTAATAATATGATTACATTTGTTAGAAATTGTAAAATCAAGGGAGATCAAGTTGCCGCTGTCTCTTTGGATATTCAGGCGGCATTTGACAATGCCTGGTGGCCCGCTATTTTGCGTAGACTCCACATAATTAATTGCCCCAAGAATATATACAAAATAATAACAAACTACCTCAGCGAGCGAACAGTTAGCATAAATTTCTCAAGCAGCAGTGCCAACAAAGCCATGAGTAGAGGATGCATCCAAGGTTCAGTTTGCGGACCGACATTTTGGAACCTGATCTTGGATGAATTACTTGAAAAGGACTTGCCCGAAGGATGTCATATTCAAGCCTTTGCTGATGACGTTACGCTCATTGCTCACGACAAAGACCCCTTAAAGTTACAGGAAATAATTAATAAGGCACTCCATATAATCACCATTTGGGGAGAGTCAGTCAAATTAAAATTTGGGCCTCAGAAAACCCAAGCAATTGCCTTCACAGGTAAAGCTGAGAAAATAAAAATATCAGTATCTGGCACTCGCATCAAATTGGAAAATTATATAAAAATTCTAGGCATCATTATAGATAAAAAACTAAAATTCATTCAACATGTTCATCATATATTGGTCAAAACAAGAAGTATATATAACAAATTATTAAAATATATCCGACCTACTTGGGGAATACAATCCGAAAATATTGAGATTATATATAAAAATGTTATTGAACCAATTATCTGTTACGCGCCCAGCATATGGCACTCGGCATTAAAATATAAACATGTAAGAGACAAGCTGCTATCCCTGCAACGTGGTTTTGCTATAAAAATAATTAAAGGTTTTAGAACCGTAAATACCATCAATGCAATAGCACTGGCAAGGCTGACTCCTATACACATTAAAATTAATGAACTGGCAATCATCGAAACAACGAAACTAACAGGCACAAGCAAATATCTTCCAACAGACATTAGTTTAGACACACCATCGAAACCAGAAGAACGATTACATCCATCTCGTCGCAAAATTATCCATTACCAAGAAGCCAATAACGCTCAAGAAGTCAATCAGATTCTCCTCGAAAACACTCATCACATCTACACAGATGGTAGTAGACACGACGAAAAGGTTGGGGGAGCTTTTGTTGTATATTGCCCCAATGGTAAAATTATAACTAGAAAACTAAAACTCCATAGTTCTTGCTCGGTGTTTCAAGCTGAGTTGAAAGCCATAGAACAAGCTTGTGTGTGGCTTGCAGATAAACACATTCCGAATGCAGCTATTCTGACTGACAGCAAATCTGGACTACAAGAAATCGGTAACCCCAATAGTACAAATCAAATAGTTACCAACATCCACAGAATGCTAGACAACCACAGCTTATCAGTTAATTTCATTTGGGTCAAAGCCCACACAGGTATAGCTGGTAACGAAGCTGCTGACCTGGCAGCCAAAGCTGCAGCCACAAGCCATAACGTCCCTATTCTCATAAAATTTCCAATTAGCTTCGTAAGAAAACTTGCTCAACAAGATAGTAAAGTAGCTTCCGAACAATTTTACCAAGATAACATGAAAGGTGAAATAACCAGAAAATGGCTCCCTACACTTACACACATACAAGAATTATACCAAGTCACCAAGCACTCATTCACACTAACACAAATTCTTACAGGTCACGGCTACCACAAAAAGTACCTTCATAGATTTAAAATAGTGGAAAATAACACATGCCCTTGCGACGACACTGCAGTACAGTCAATTTTCCATTTACTTAATGATTGTCCAAAATTCCAAGCTACACGTCTAACCCATACGATAACTTGCGCCAATTTTAAAGTACAACCCTTCTCCATTGAAGAAATTATTAAAAAGGAAAGCACATTTGAAACGTTTCTACACCATATTAATAGTATAATAAAAAGTCTCAAGAAATTTAACGGAACAGAATAATTTTGAACTCAAAACATGTAAAATAAATATTTATAAAACATCTCCAAGAATTCCCACAGCGCACAAATGTTCTGTATCAAATAGCAGAACGGCAAATGAAAAACATTGCCAACTCCCACAAAAGTGATGATATTTGTGGGGAAAAAAAAAAAAAAACCTAACCTAACCTAACCTAACCTAACCTAACCTAACCTAACCTAACCTAACCTAACCTTTTAGATCCAGCGTGCTAAACCATTTTACTCCTTTAAGCATGTCCAGCGTGTCATCAATTCTTGGCAAGGGATAGCTGTCCTTCTTTGTAACGTCGTTCAGACGGCGGTAATCAACACAGAACCGCATGCTGCCATCCTTCTTTTTCACCAGCACCACTGGTGAACACCATGGACTAGAGGAAGGTTCAATAACACCATCCTTCACCATTCCTTCAATCATGGTTTCCACTTCCTTTTCACGTGCTACCGGCAATCTTCTTGGCCGCTGACGGATAGGCAATTCCTCTCCTGTGTTTATTTTGTGTTGAACTAGGCCAGTCTTTCCTATGTCAGCATCATTTGATGAGAATACATCGGCGTACTTGAGTAACAACTTCTTCGCCTTGACCAATTCGTTCGGGGACAGAACACTGCGACAGTCTTCCAAAAGTGTGGTCACTCTCGTTTCTGAATCCTTGCTGGGGGTCCCACTCGATATATATTGGCACTGACGTAACCAATCCACTTCCTCACAAGTACCAACCAGTGTGCCTTTTTCTATAATCTGTTCCCGGTCGCAAAGGTTCAGCACACGTACTCCTGAGATGTCAGTGGTCCTGACCAAGGTTCAAGCTACTTTCCATGGAAGGTCATTGTTTACCCTTTCCACAAGTACACAACGGTGAGCTTGCCCAGCGTTTCGAGGTAGACTAACCGGAACAATCGTTTCCGATCTCGGCGGAAGAACAATTTTCTTGATGCTGTACACGTTCCCTGGTAACGCACCTTCCATAAAAAGTTCCTCCTGTCCACATTTCAAAACACCTTGCTTAACGTCGATCTCACAACAATTATTCCTCATAAAGTCTAGGCCTAAGATGCAGTCGTCCATTATATCAGCCACGATGACATTATGCAGGTAGATCACGTTGCCTAGCTTCAACTCCATCTCCTTCTCTCCACGGACGGGTATACGCTGACCGGTGGCTGTTACCAAATTAAGGCGTTCTCGGTTGTATGCGGAGTCCCCAAGGAACTGACTTATAAGTTGGGAACTAACAACCGTACGAGAGGCTCCAGTGTCTATGGTCAGCTTACACGGCATTCCGTTGATCTCGCCCTTTATGATTAGGCTGTTCCCATCATGGGTTTGTGAGATCGAGATCCTTGGGGCTCTTTTAACATCAGCCAGCACCCGCCCCGCAGTTCTGGCTTTTACTCGTTTCCCTGCCGCTGCTGGGCGGTGCTGTTGGCCGCACTACCCTCCTGAGATCGTTCAATTTCCCTTTCTAGGGTTCGCTTAGGGCAGCTGGATCGAAGATGGCCCTTTTCCCCACAGCCATAGCACCTTCGGCTGTATCCTTTGTTGCGGTCGCGAACTGTAGCTGCTGCAACCTCCCTGACGCGATGGGAACGATGATCCTGCCGCACGGCTTCCACTTCCAGTGCATGGGCCAAGGCGTCCTTAAGCGTCTCGTGGTGCCCGAGCCTCACAGCAGCTCTGACTTCCAGGTCGCGGATGCCGTCGATGAATGTCTGCACCAGGTTCCCTTCAATGAGCGCAGGTACAGACCGGTATGCTTTTCGCACCAGCTTCTCCACTTCTAGAGCCCACTGCTGCAGATTTTCGTTGATGCGCTGCACACGATCTTTAAGCTGCGCACGAAAGACGTGTTCCAGGTGAGCGTCGCCATATCTCGCCTCCAATGCCTCAAGGAGTTGCTCATAAGTCACTTCCTCACCGAGAGCTTCCAGAACTGTTAAGGCCTGGTCGCGCAGGCCTAGTGTGAGAGCAGTCATGGCCTGACTTTTATTCCAGCCGTTCGCGTTCATAACAGCCTCGAACTGGATTTTGTAGGCTGACCAAGAAGAAGTCCCGTCGAATGGTGGCACCTTGAACCCACGTAGCGAAGGTGTAGTAGCTACTACGGGAACTGAAGTTCCCTCGCCAAGTTTGAGTTCGTCAAGTGATTTCCTCATGTCAGCCATTACGTTGTCACCCGATTGTTCACTAGGTCAATTCGGGTTTCAGCTTCCGACAGGCGGTTTTCATGTTGAGCAACCTTATCTTTCACCTCCCTTATCTCTTTCCCGAAGGTAGCGTGAAGGTCCTTCATGAGAAGCATCTGTTCCTCCTGTCGGCGGGCCTGTTCCTCTTGTCCGCTCTGCAGCTGCTCTTTCAACTGACGGACCTGTTCCGCCTGCTGACGAACCTGTTCATCCTGTCCACCCCGCAGCTGCTCCTCCAACCGACGGACCTGTTCCTCCTGTCGGCGAGCCTGTTCAGCCTGCTGATCTGCTAACCGACGGGCCTGTTCATCCTGTCCGCTCTGCAGCTGCTGCAGCATCACCATCAGAGCACCTAAGTCAGGTGCTGCAGATGTAGGAGCTACCGACGGGCCTGCAGCCGGTGGCTGGCCCTCCAACGTCTGCGGCGTTGCACCACCAAATCTTCGTTGGTCCGTCTCCTGCTGGCGTTGACTTCGGGTACGGACATCTTCCGTTTCCTCCTTAGGTAAAATTGGCATGATTTTATCCCACTTCTGACACCAATTGTTACGAGCTTGAGGTTCGTGACAACAAAAATTGCCGATAAAATTACCTAAATTAACACTTTAATTTACTTTACACAATTAAAGTTAAAACACTAATAATTTAAACACACTAATTCACTTAATTCCACTCCGAAGCTTCGCTTGTTTCGCCCAAATCAACACTGCCTCGATCGCATCTTGCAGCGCCTATATATTTGAATTAGCAAAGAAATATCCAGAATGTTCAAGTAAACACGCGGAAGGTACCGAGCGTTCGAGTTTCGACTAGGCGCTGTCAGTTGAGCGATTTATGATGTCATTTTCTCAATGCTCCCCTCGCTCTCGTTCCTGACACTAGATGGCGCTAGTTGACTTATTCATGCAACAGTACTTTAAGATAAATTTTAATCAAGTAATTAATTAAGTGACAAATTTACAAAAAAGGACTGTAAAATTAAATATCAGATTTTGTAAGCATTAGATTAAGAGTAGAAGGACTCCCGAACGAAAACCCGGACTCCTCTACAACCTATACAATAGCAAGGACAAGAAAATAAAAAACTAGAATTAAAAGTCCATGTCGAGCTGACAATGTCTCTGACCACCTATGTCAGAGGAAAACAGCAACACATACAAAAAAAAACAAAAAAAAACCTAACCTAACCTAACCTAAC